GAAAGGTGAGGGAAGGTTGCTCGCCAAGACGTCGCGTCTTGTGCCTATATATTCTCGTCTGGTACGAGAAATCAGAGCAGCTGTAGTTCAGCCAACTACATGAAAGAGGGAAAAATGCTCGCTAGGATTATCGCAATCCTATGCCTACGTACTCTCAAAAGATATGAGAGATCAGAGCAACAGTAGTTCGGCCAACTACAGAGAGATGGTCTCGATTGCACGGGGGCAAGAGAAGGGATCTCAATCGCCAGGATGCAAGAGAAAAGAGTCTCAATCGCCAGGATGCGAGAGAAAAGGTCTCAATCGCCAGGATGCGAGAGAAAAGAGGGTCTCAATCGCTAGGATGCGAGAGAAAAGAGTCTCAATCGCCAGGATACGAGAGAAAAGGTTAGGAACGGGACACACACGCTAAGTCCTAAGATGTAGGAGCGAATGCGTCGCATATTGCCCAAAGGGCATACCAAAACACTCTAGACGAATGAGAGGAAGCCCCCCACTCATCATTTCCCACGTATCTAACGCTTACGGCTCACATCACTCGACGGTTGCATAAAAGAAATGAAATAAAAACAATGTTACCGAACAGAGTGGTTCCGTTGACCCTTGACTTTTGCATGCAAGCTCCATTTCTAACCTTTTCCTCTTTTGATCCTTGACGATGATGTTTTGAATCAGAACCAATGTGACGCTAAACCGTTGTAGCTCGACTTATAAGAGGAAGTCAAGCTATAAGAGGTCGCGTGTTGATATCCGTGTCAAAGACAAGATAGAGAAATGATATTGAGAATCATTCTCTAATTGAATCGTGTCACACGAATCAGAACAGAAGAAAGCCAAAATAAAATCAGAAGAAGAAGAGAAATGGGGAGAGAAAGAAGTGGTCTCGGATCCTACATTATCCATCAACAATTTGATTAATAACGGTTTAAAGAGGTCTCGTCATCGACATACAAACACTACTAGAAAACTTTATTTTAGCTGCAAATTTTGCCTCGGCCACCGACACCAAGGCTAACTAGCCTTGACAAAACCGAGGCTATTCAAACGCAAAAAAAAACATTTTAAAGTTTTTCTTTTACAATTATTTTTATTTAATTCATTAGACACAGCTAGGCCGAGGCTAGATATTTTTTAATTTTTGAATTATTTTTTTAAATATTAGACACGGTCAATCCGAGGCTAACTATTTTAAGCTGTGAACTTAGCCTCGGTCATCGACACCGAGACTAACTAGCCTTGACGATACCGAGGCTACTTAAACGCAAAAACCCCCCATTTTAAAGTTTTTCTATTTTTTTTTAAATATTAGACACGGATGAGCCGAGACTAACGTTTTTAATATTTTTCGAATACATTTATTTTACCTGATAGACACGGATCAGCCGAGGCTAACATTTTTTATTTTTTTATTTTATCTGATAGACACGGATGAGCTGAGGCTAAATATTTCCCACCTTGTTTTTCATGTTTCCCTCTTAATTCCTTCTAGAGAACCCTAAAATTAAACCAAATACATTTTCAGAAGAAAAAAACCCCTAAAATCAATGTAGTGAGTTTCATATCTTTGTTTTTATCTTCAAGATCACTGATTCTTCTGAGTGGGTTTATTGGTCTCTGATTCTTCTTATGCTTTTTTTCAACCTCAAACTATCTTCGATTCTTCTTCTGCTTTTTTTCAATGTAGTGAGTTTCAGTCTTGGCCTTTACCTGTTGAAGGAAGTTTAGAAGATAGAGCTGCAAGTGCTTCCAAGAGTCATAGTCAAGCAGAGAAAAGACGCAGAGATAGAATTAATTTGTTTGTGTTATTTTCCAATTTAAGGTTAGATTTTGTTATTTTCCATTCTAATTCCAACCCTAACTGAGATTTAGGTTTAATGATTATGATGTTTTGCATTCAACTAATCCCCTGCTTTTGTCTGTGTTGTTGTTAGGTTTAATGATTCACACTATAATTTTTATTTAAGATTTTATATGCACTATTTTGTTAAATGTGGTTGAACCTTAGGGATTCCATTATTGCTCACTTGGTTTATGTGGTTGAACTCGGTTCTGTTAGTATGGTAATTGACATTCTATTGTGAAGGGGAAAATGTTAGTGTGTAAAAAACTTTTGTTAGGTGCTAGCTAATTCAAAATATCGAATTGAATTGTATAAATGTCTTGAATTCCATTATTGACCCTATGTTGAATTTTGCATTGTTTTGTTGATGAATGATTTATTACAAATATAATGTATTGTGAATGGTTTAGTCAGTTAGAAACTGTCTAAATGCAATGATATTAGTATGTAAATGTCAATGCCAAAAAGTGAATATGCCTGAATTGGATAGTTAGAAACTATGTCTTAGAACACTTATGATATACTTCTCTCATCACTGTTTAAGATTTTATATGCACTGGTTGCAAGAATTGTTCTATTGACAAGCACAAACTAGTTTTTTTTTGAATCTGTATGCTGTTGTGGTAGAGTTAGGACTAATAGGATAGCAATATACCCTACAAAGTCAGGCTGAATGTTGCAGAAAAGGCTTGATTCAATTTTGCTTGTGATTCTTGCCACCGGCCAGAATGCGCTGGATTTGAAGTCCTCGACTGAATGCTTTGTTGAACAGAAGCCTAGTTTGGAATTCTGAAACAAATGGGAACCATGCCAGTATGGCCACTAGTGTAAATATAACCACTGCCATTAGGTATTCCTTCAAATTTAATTGGAATGTTTGTTTGTAAAATGTCATTAAATATTTAATAAAATAATTTCAATAGACAAATTTAAAACCACATCAAAACAATTATAAAATAATCATTAACAATTTTAGTAGAAAAAATATTTTATCTTTTATCTTACAGGATGTTAAGATCTTTTTAGTAGAAAAAATCAAAATTTATTAACAGTTTTCAAAGCATGGTTTACACATTTGAGACCACACAAGACATTTTTACAATGCTATATTGAAATCTTACTGCCAAAATATGTTGTTTGCTGTGAGGCATCTTGAATTTTTTGTATGTCTTATCTCGTCAACCGCCAATAAGCGGAGAATTTAAGAACAGTTGCAGCTTGATACAAGTCTTAGACATCCATGCATGCATTAGTTTTCAAATTCTCTCACCTCAATTTCCTTTCCCTGCTCAAGAGTTTCCTAAAGTTGCAAAAAGAATCTCAGTTATATGATAGAATAAATAAATTTAACTTGAAGCTTAACTTTTCAAGCATAGATTAATAGAATTCTGAAACAAATGGGAACCATGCCAGTATGGCCAGTATGCTGCATATGCTCCTGTTCCTCATCCCACCATGACTCCCAACTCTTGTTTGAAGGAACACCAATACCACCTCGATTACTAATCCATTTAGTCCAATCATCCCAGTCCTCAACTATCTTTTGCCACTCAAATCCTGATGATTTGAAAAGGAACGGAGCAAACAACCAAGAGCAAACCAAAAACCACATTGACCATGACAGAAGAGCATATGTTGTTGAGTCAGGTGTTGCTGGTCCATAAATCATATAACAGATCAGCAATATTGTGAGCTCAATCCCTTTGACAAAGTGACTCCTAGGGCACATCCTGTAATTGTCTGCAAACTTTTCATGACGAACGAAAAATCCACGCCCAGTTGCTGTCATATCTTTTCTACATTACTTTTAAGATATTAATAGGGTTAATTTAATAAAAGTGTAATATTTTATAATGTCCCTGCATTATCAGCATGTGAAAAATTGTCGAGAGTGATTGTATGATGATGCATGGTTTCTTCGACGATGCCTTGAACCAGGTGGAACTTATCCGTCTTAGCATAGAAATTTCAAGGGAGAAAATTCATGTTGAGTATTATTTTATAAATGGAAAGCTTGTTCCCATTAATGGCGCTCTAACTCCTTAACCTTCTTTTCTTTGTTTTAAATTGTATGATGAAACCATGTTGGTTTGCTTTATGGAAAATAGTTGTATTTGTCTTTGTCCCTCATACTATCTTTGTAATCACAGTTTTGACTGTTATGAGATTTCCAACTTTTCTTCCTTGTTCACATGCTTTGATTGTTAGCTACGTTTGGTCGTGATAAGAGATTCAGAGTTAAACTTTGTGGTATATTTAAGTTGTTGGTGATTCTTATGTGTATTGAAGTTATGAAATCTGCATGTTTTGGTTAGGAGTGTGTCGTGAGCGTGTGATTCACATTGTTTTTATTCATGTTATAAGTTTATGACCACCGCTTTGTAAATAACTTGCAAGCTATATGAAGTCTTGGTATGCTGAAACTTGTGCAGTCTGCTTGTAGCTTTGTGTGGAATTTGTTAGAATAGAGATAATTAGCGTACAGTCGAGATTCAGAAGTCTTAGCGTTATCCGTATAGTTATGTTATTGTTGTCTGTTATGATTGATATGCACTTTGTATGCTGCCCTACTTTTGGATTTCAAGTTTTGTTTCATCATGTTAATGAATGTTACAGCATCTGCGCTTAACGGTGATAATTTCAAGTGTTGTTTGCTATTGCGTTCAACTTTTAGCTATTTTCTCTGAGACTTGTTTATCGCAATTGTGTTTTGGCAAAACGTTGCAGCTTTACATTGTTACGATTAATATCGGTGGTATCATGTATGTTGCTTTGAGAGTCGATTTTCTCCGAATATTGTTTGTGATACTTGCTGCAATACAGTGTCAAAATCACAAGGAAGTCATTTGTTCTCTTCCTGCTATTTCTCTTGAAATAAGTTTGTTGGTCAATAACTTTATTTAAATGTTTCAACTTCATTTTAATGGTATTGTTTGTGTTTCATTATAATTAATTTTTGGAGTTTGATATGATGCTACAAGTGATGTGAATGATCATGTTAGCAACCTGTAGCATGAATAATACCGCACCGTTACAATTGATTTTTCTTTCTTTAGAAGTTTTATTGTTTCAGTTTCAGTTTGTTGATTTGGCACTGGTGTAAAACCGTATGGATAATGATATTAGAACCCATCTATAGAGTGTTATCCAAACATCATATATGCCCATTATATCACATATTTTGAGATCAAACAAAGTCTGTGCTGTGTTAGGTTTTAGAGATGTTGTTTCGGTATGGAAATTCGGTTTCTTTCTACAGTATCTTCATCAGTATATTAGCACCATGAGGCCTATACATGACCGATACGCTGTGCTATTTACGGTTGCAATTGTGTGGCTATTTGCACAGCTTTTAACTGCTTCCACTGCATATAACCACAAGTCAGCAAGCACACAAAATAGTTGTCGCACTGATCGTGTTGGACTCGTTACTTCCGCTAAATGGTAAGAATAATTCCAGGCTGGTTTCGTCAATTAGTTCTGATCATTTACATAACATGACTAAGAAAATTGTTGCAGGGTGTATCTTCCTTACCCTTTTCAATGGGGGCCTCCTACATTCAATGTTCTGGAAGCATTTCCTATGATAGTTGCTTCTATAGTTTCTCTTTTTGAGGTATCCACTAATTCCTTAGCACACAAGTAATAAGGATCTCGTGCCACTCTTCATTGCAATTTCGCCTGTTAATCACTGATTTGAAATTTGTTTTACTTACAGTTTTTTGGTACATCCTATGCTGTTGCAAGAGTAGGAAGCTGGTTTACTAGCATTAACATAAGGTCACGAGGAGTCAGCTGCCAACCTAGCGTGTCCTGCGGTGGAATTTTAAGGCATTCAAACTAGGCTATTATGTCACAGCAACTGGGCCAAGTGAGCTAATCCAAATTCAATAACATTTCAAGTTAGCAGCTAGCAATTAACAACATATTGTCGCTACTAAAAAAATACACGCAACGACGGGGAGGGCGAAAAGGAAAAGGACAGAAGAGTCGCCACCGAACTTTATTTATCCCATGAGGGGAAAGGAAAATATCGAGAAAACCTCAAGAAAAGAATGGATAAGATGGTCTCGCAACTAAGAACGGGTTCGGAAGCCGGTTATGCAAGGGGAAGGTATTAGCACCCCTCGCATCCATCGTACTCGATGGGAACCATTTGTTTGTCGTGTGTGAATTTATTTGCTTAAATTTTACTATGAAGAGTGTTCCAAAAGATACAGAAAAGGGTTTAGAAACGGGGAAAGAAAGGTAACGCGAGGAAGAAGGGAAAGAACGGACTCGATAGGACTTCGCGGTCCTAGGCCTACGTATTCTCGATAGACATGAGAAAATCAGAGTCGACGTAGTTCAGGAAACTATGGGTATGGGGGGAATGTGCTCGGCAAGGATTGTGGCCCTTGTGCCTACGTATCTTTACTTGAACGAAGTAAAGAATCAGAGCAGCCGTAGTTCGGCCTACGCTTTGTTGATGTTTTTATGGATGATGCTATCGTACGCATTCTAGCAATTAGGTGTATTGCTGCTCGCTCGTTGGAGACTTAGGCATTACCTGTTTGCGGTAGAACGGACGTATCATATCCTTTTCGAAAGATAAATTTTCGCCAAGCGAGGCAAGATGTCACATTTGATTTGTTGAATTGTTTTTTTTTAAGGGGCGAGATAGGTCCTCGGATAGTAACCTCTACGGGTAGTACCCAATTCTTTATCTCAAATTTTTTGTTATAAAAGTGTGTGGCGAACATAGAGTCTTCGTATTGAAAGACGAGTATCAAAACCACACACACTACAGTGAGCATCTCGACACTCGGAGAGGAAGAAGTCTACACTTAATCCTCTCTTTTTAGTTCAACACAAAGAGAACTTCATTCTCTTATTAAAGTGTTTTTGGTTTTGAATGGTAAGTGCTTTTGTGACAGAGAACCCTACGGAAAACGTCAGCACTCGGGATAGGAGAAGGCCTACGCCTAACCACTCCACGACCATTCAAATTTGGTTATGAGTAGAGTTTAGAAATGCGCTCGGTACGGGACCGAGGTTTTTAGGTGACAAAGGTTGCGGAAAGAAGTTGTAGAGGGAGATAGGTGGTGGATAAAGTCACGTCTTCGTATTGAAAGACGAGTATCGAGACCACCCATACTATAGTGAATATCCCAACACTCGGAGAGGAAGAAGTCTATACTCAATCCTCTCTCTTTAGTTCAATACAAAGAGAATCGATTTATTTATTGTAAGTGTTTTGAAAATGCACTCGGTACGGGGCCGAGGTTTTTTAGGAGAAAAAGGTGTGGATGAAAACATCTCTGTATTGAAAGACGAGTGTCAAAACCACCCACACTACAGTGAGCATCTCAACACTCGGAAAGGAAGAAGTCTACACTCAATCCTCTCTCTTTAGTTCAATGCAAAGTGAACTTTATCGTTTTGTTAAATATGGTGAGTTGGTTTAACCATTATTTGAGAAAATCCGCTTGACATTGGGTCAAGGGTTTTAGTTGCTTAAAAAGGTTTGAGGTGAAGCGAGCAAGGTCGATGGTGACGCGCAAGGCAATCGGCTTACAAGGTCAAAAATGGCTCGATGAGAATCGAGAGTTTGTTTTCTTGAAAATGGTTTTTAGAACCAAAGGTCAAAAATGACCAACAATAAATATGCACAAGAACCAAACAATTACAACGGATTAACCGACTTAAAAAAAACACAAAACACAAAAAAAAACGGCACGAAGAATTTTTTTTTTGAGATAAAAAAGTCGAGAAAACGTGAAAAACAGGGGTCTGACACGGGCGGCCGTGTTGTGTGACACGGCCCGTGTCACAGTTCCAGGAAACTTAGGGTTTTTGAGGCAAACAGAAGTGTGACAAGGGTGGTCGTGTTGTGTGACACGGCCCATGTCACAAGGTCTGGGAGAAAAATGATTTTTTAGGGCAAACAGAAGTGTGACACGGGTGGCCGTGTTGTGTGACACGGCCCGTGTTGTGTGTTCTAGGAATTTTACGCTTTGAAAAGCCACACAGGGATGCAACACGGCCGGCCGTGTCGTGTGACACGGCCCGTGTTGGGCTACCAGAAGAAAAATCCAAACTTTTCTCTTGTTTTTTGCTTATTTTTTGTGGTTCTTTCAAAAGGTTTCTTGGTCCCTTAGAACCTTACATGATGCATACAATACAAAAACACATAAAAGAGTAAACGAAGCAAAAAAATAAAGAGAGAAAGGTTGGAGGAAATGGATACCCAAGAGCTTTCTATCCTTCTTGCAAGTCCTCCTTGGTCTTGGTTGAATGTACCTCACTCCTCTTCCCTCTATGTTGTGAAGGTTTTGTTTCTTAATGATCCTCTTGGTTCTATATCACTCTCTTTTTTTGGTTAGCAAAGCTTCCTATTTTCCTGTTTTTTAGGGTATTGTTTTGCTCTCTCTATTTTCTGGTTTTGCAAGTGTGTGTAGAAAATGAATGTTGAATGAATGAATCCTTTTGTTTACAGTCCCCTCCTCTTATCTCAGCTCCTAGGGTTTTCTCTTCCCCCCAAACATCATATTTTTTCATGGGGCAATGTCTCTTGCCACCTTTTCTCATGTAACTCTCTTTCTTTCCATTTCCATGCAAGGTGCTATGCTGCATTTTCTGCACTACTTTCCTATGCTATTTGCTGCAGCACCTTGTGCCTTGCACCCATTTTGTTTGTTTGTGTTTGGACAGATCCTCTTGGTTAATGCCACCAACTCTTGACAACATTTTGAAAATTCTGATATGTAGAAGCATTGTCACATGTTATTCCTTTGGTCTTGTGACATGTGATCTTGTGACATGAAGAAATTTGTCACCTCTTGCATGGGACTGTTTTGCCATGATTAAACATGCATACTCTTGGTCCTAAAACATTCCAATGTTGATTTAATCCTTGCATGTTTCTTGGATGTTTGTAAGCATAATGTAGACTTGGTGTGGCATTACCATAACATGAATTTGACTAGAGACTTGAATGAAGTATTAGAAATAAATTAATTTCTAAACATTACTTAGAGTTGAAAATCTTGCAACAAATGACATTCTTGTAATGTCACAAAACTTCTCTTTATAATATTCTTGCCTTTAATCTTGAATTCATGATGGATTTCCTTTACGTCATTGAATTTGAAAGAATCGAAGAAATGAGTCAAGCCTTGAAAGAGGACAAATTTTGGGGTGCAACAGTTGCCCATATTCAAACGACTTGGACCTGAAGGGATGAAAAGCAAACGCTTTCAAACATTCGAGGTAAAAGGCGATTGAATACAAAAGAACCCAAAAATTTGTCAACCGTAGAATGAAACCTCTGACATCGCCGTCAGGCACCTATGACAGGTAGAACATCTGACTTCGCCATCAGTCGTTGATCAAATACAAACACCTGACCTTGCCGTCAGCTCTTAATAGCATTCTAACTTCGCCATCGGAACTTAACATCAAATTTGTGAGATCTGACCTCACCGTCAATATTCAACATAATCTGTAAAAACATCTGATTGGTAAAACATCTGATCTCGCCGTCAGTCCTCCATATCCTCTGACTTCGCCATCAACTTACAACATAATCTGACTTCGTCGTCAATTAAAATCATCTGACTTCGCCGTTATTTCTCAAACCATTTTGACGTCGCCGTCAACCCTCTACATGATCTGACTTCGCCATCAATTCTCCACATAAAATTTGGAAAAACACCTGACTTCGCTGTCAGTCCTTAACATCAAATTGGTAGGACACATGACTTCGCTGTCACCCCTCCACAATCTGACTTCGTCGTCAACTCCTCTCATAGTCTGACTTCGCCGTCAATTCTTTACATAATCCGACCTTGCCGTCAACTCTCAACATAATCTGACTTCGCCATCAACTCTCTTCATGATCTAACTTCGCTGTCGATTCCCAACATGGCCTGACTTCGCCGTCAACTCTCTTCATACTCTGACTTTGCCATCAATTGTCTTCATAATTTGACTTCGTCGTCAATTCTCTTTATAATCTGACTTCGTCGTCAATACTCTTCATAATCTGACTTCGTCGTCAATTCTCTTCATAATCTGACTTCGTCGTCAATCTTCACAATCTGACCTCGTCGTCAATTCTCTTCATAATCTGACTTCGTCGTCAATTTTCACAATCTGACCTCGTCGTCAATTCTCTTCATAATCTGACTTCGTCGTCAATTTTTTTATAATCTGACTTCATCGTCAATTCTTTTTGCTAAAAAAGATAGCATCGAAACGAAAGGTCGGCTCAACCCTAAATTCAGAAGAACATTCGTTGATTCACCATCTGGGTGAAGAAATCCATTGGGGAAACATGAACTTGAATAAATAGACTCCGCTAGGGAAACCGATAAGATGAACACATTTGTCAATGACCTGGATGGAGGTCTGGACACCACGTAGGATTGAGAAATATACTGATAACCGCTGGAGATACGCTTGAAAACAAAGGGGTGGCAACCCGGCTTATGTTTTACATGCATATGTTTGAATATGGCGTAATGCTCCATACGAAATGGAAATGCTACGTGTTTGGGAGGATGTTATGCATGATGCAAATGCAAAGGAAACACTTTAGCAAAATGAATGCCAAAGAGGAAGGATTAATTCCGCCGGGGAAAAGACTAGACATGTCTAGTACAAACGTTGGGGAAAACAAACCCTGGATGGTTTTCTGAGCAAACTTCTGGATAAAATTGTTCCGCTAAGAGCAAAACCACCCTGCTGGGGATTAGACAATGAGGGAACCAATATCAACCTTTGCTTGGGGAAATAAGCAATAAACTCAACAAATACAACTTCCACTCAAGGAATGAGTCAATGACCTAGACTCTGAGGGGA